GAAAGTGGCGCCTCTGATAGATTTTTAAGAAATTAACATTTGTGAATGAAAACAATTTATAATATATTTTACTGATGTTTTACGAGGGATGAATAAATTTTACGTATTTGTACACCTTATTTTTTACGTAATTTATTTCTGTAATACTAAGATTGGTATATATATTATATGCAAGGGTTTCATAGTACACCAATTTTGCGGATTATTTTTTAATTTTACTAAAAGAAATTTTATGTACAGGTAAAGGCTTAACCCATACCACTCTGGAGTCACTTTAAAAATATGAATCAGTCTCTTTTGAAAAAAATCTAAGAAAAGAAACAAAAAGAAATAGAAATGTTAAAAAATGCTAGAACAATATATTTAATTTTTGCCTACAGGAGCATTTATTTTTATTACAATAAAAATAGAAATACGTCAAAGCTTTTTCGTCTAGAGGGTGACACCAACAAAATATATATCTTTGTCTACTATTTAGTGATTTGAATTCATGTTATTTTTTACATACAGTAATTTCGCTCAATTATATTAAATTAATTTTATCACTTATGTATTAAAAAATATATATCCGAAATTGGAAGGTATACACTGAGATGTGAATTATAAATATGTTTTTGTTTAATGAATACCTCTTCGAGTCAACAATAATTATTAATTCCAGCATGTTAATATCTCTTCAATCCGTTAAAGTAATGTAAATATTTTTTCTTGCTTTCGCACATGGCTTTGACTGTCGCACCATTTGAGGCGCGTTGCAAGAGAAAAATTTCTAAAAAGTTAGCCAATGTCTATAAATGAGAGAAAAACGATTGTGACAAGCTGATTTTGTATTGTGGAAAAGACGGAAATGAGTCACTGCTTTAAAATTTTGAGAAATTTTTAAAAAATCTCCTAAAATCTTTTATTTAGTTTTAAAGCCACCCGATATGGCATGGACCATAAATTCAGAGCAAAATAAGATTTTTTTCTATATAACTTCTTATCGAGACATTGTGAGATAAAAAAAACAGACAATTAATTAAAAGCGTACTCACAATTTTTTAGGTATAGAAGTTTCAATGCTATACTGTTTTCCAAATTATGAAAATACTAAAGAATATTAAAAAAAAGAGCCAATTAAAGAATGTGTTAATATCTACAGAAGAACATCGTATTTTTTTTGTTTTTTGAAACAAAGTGAAAAAATACCGGTGTTACTTCCGAATATTTCTTTGGTAAAAATGTTCTGTAGCATATGTCGCTGGTGTTAGAAGAATTGGGTTCTTTTGTAGAAATAACTAACGAGTCATAGGTAGTAGAAAAAGAAGTGTTTTTAATTTACTATTTTCACTGAAGTAAATACATAGTGGTTGATTCACTTATCTTCACTAAACAGTTTTAAATATTTACAATTTTAGTTCATCACAATTTGATTAACTAATATAGTTGATTTTTTAGTTACCAACTTAAAAACATTTGTTTGTAGAATTTCTTATGCCATAATAATTGTAGAAGATATAACTTGCACCAGAAAATAAACTGCATTAAACGCTTGTAAAAATGTAGAAAGTAACGTGCCGTCGGCAGAAAGCACTTGAACGTTCGGATAGCAAACAACTGTGAGCGATGATGACAAAAAGACAACTGATTCTTTGGTGACACTAAGACAACTACTGAATGATGGCAAACATACAACTGAACTGCTCGCGTCGAGCTCACCTTAATATATACTGTTGGGACGAAATGAGTGTCCGGGGCATAGTTCACGCACCTATTCGGTTTCAACCAATGAAAACATCATGACATAACGAAATACGTCATTTGTGCTTCGTTCACTATGCGCCGGACACTCATTTTGTTCCAATGCACCGCTGTGCACTTGAAAACACAGGTGTTCGACGTTCGGTATTCTGAGAAAAATGCTATTTATAGTTTTATGACTTCACATTATATTAGGGTAAAAAGCAGTCGAACTATTGGAGAATTGTTTATTTATTTAGTAGATGTAAAATATTAATTTGTTGATGTTTTTACTGGTGAAATTGTAGAATTTAACCACAAAGATTGGTCGAAAATTGTGAAAATAACAACATATTTTTATTTCACAAAATAATAAGTTAGTTTTTGTTTTTTATGTAAATCATATCATTTTCAAGGCAATAAAATAGAAGAAAAGTCAGCGAATACCGATTTCAAAAAGGTCTATTAGTTTTTATAGGAAATGGAAAGAGAAAGAACGCTTTTTAAATCAAGTTAAAATTCTTTACTAATTTCGCGGTTTCTCTTCGACGATGTCCGGTCTCCGTCTTGTTTAAAATCGATAACTATAAACGGATTAAGGTATTTTGTAACGTGTTAAAAAATGTAAGAAAAATTTTGAAGGATATTTATTTTTTTTAAAAAATTAGTAAACTTTGACAAACATATACAATATTCTAAAAGATAAATCACATTTATGTGATTATATAAAAATGTTATTTATTTTTCTAAAAGTCTGCTTTCTATATGTTACTTTTTTCAGAAAAATGTTATTTCTGATAAAACTTAGTGTTTAATTAAACCGTAAACTTTATTTATTCAAAACATTCTGTATTATAAATATAAATTTGGCTGCACAGTGAACTAGGTACTCTTCTAGGAACCGAACCCACGTTTTTACATATAAGATTAATTTAACAAGATATATATAACTCTACATAGTAGTTTTTTTAGTTAATACAATTAATATAGATTATTATTTAACCTTTTAAACCTAATTCAAAAAGGGGGAGGTTCTCAATTCATCTGTATATTTTTTATGTATGTTCAGCGATAATTCTTTAACACACTCCGATTTAAATGATTCTTTTTTGCTGGAAAGGGGGTACTTCCGGATGGTCTCATATAAATTTGGTCAAAATCTAATAATTGGGTCCATGAGAAAATCCTCAAACTTTTTATTTTTTTATGTATGTTTCAGCGATAATTCTTTACCACCTTGTCCGATTTCTATAATTCTTTTCGTTAGTAAGGGAGTACCTCAGGGGTGGTCCCATATAAATTTGGTTAAGATGTGGTGATGGAATCTGCACGATTTTAAAGTCGGTTTTTTAAAATTACTTTTATTACTTGTTACGTAAATTAAAAGTTTAATAATTTGGTGCTTTCTTGATGCGTCGTTTTATGATTTCACTTTGTATATGTTTAAGTACAGATAATTATTATTACTGGCAGTTTATTTTAAATCATTAAAATAATATTTTGTTAATCCAAAAAAGGCAAACAAAAAAGCCATGTCACATTCAGTGTACCTAATATTAAAAATTAGATATATAAATATAGTATATTATGTACCAACAGACTAAACTTTAACTTTCAATCCCGCCTTTTTGTCGTAAAAGACTTCTAAATTTTTACCAGTGACGTCCGTACCAGGTTTGAACTGAATATTTTTGAACAAAAATATAATACGCCACTGCTTTTTCCAAAAACCAAAATTATCTTTAAAATCCTTATTTATTTTGGAGCAAATTTGGTTTATAGACGTACTTTCGTACGACGCACCCTTTTTCGCGTAAGAAAATAAAAACCAGTTTATTGAAACTGCTTTTGATATTTTTGTTGAAATTTGGTAGGAATCCACCATGAGTGGAAACACTTTTTTTTGGGGCAAAATTTCATAAAAATATCTAGAGTGATAAGAAACTTATGATAAAATAGTTATTTTTTTCTTAAAACTTTAACACCCAAGGATTCACACCCTTAAGTATCGGCACTCAATTAATAAATACCCTGTATTAATTGATCCTATTACCTTATTCGAACCAATCGTCTATTTTTCCGTTATTTGTATTTATATTTCACACCTCTTCACTCCTAAATGTAATTTAATCTAACTAAGTCTATTCACTAAATTAAAATATAAAAATAATGTAAAACCCTCTAAAAAATCGAACTGCTTTATAACAATATCTCGCAATGCACCGAGAAAAACAAATAAGATTCTGGTTCCCCTAATTTAGGTAACTCTGACTCACTCAAGAAATGATGAAGGTCGGTAGCCGTGTTGATATTTCGGTTCCTATATGTTCCAACTTCGCGTTCGAGTTTGGAATACGTATCCCTCGTATCTACATGCAATTGTTAAAATTATGAATGAATGCGGATTTTGTTAAGTCTCGGAAGTAATTTTGTAGTATTTAGGCTCCACCCTTAAGTTGTAATTTTTATACCTAATAAACTACCGTTGCCCCGCAGGTCTTTTAGTTTGTAATGTAAATTTTCCTCTTAATTAACAGAATAAAAAGTTAACTTAATTTTAAAAGATCACCCGTTTTAAGAATGCATAGTATGCGCGAGATCGCGTCTGAAAGGGCTCTAAAGGTTATATAAAATATTAATTGTTATACCTTGTCAAAATATTATTGTTGGTAAAATAAAATATTTTCAGAAAAAGGCATAACGCCTTGCAAATTATCAAGACAAAATCGCACATGTAAAACAAAAGTGACACTATACAAAAAGTATGTTTCTTAATTTTTTTTTATTAACAAATAAATTAAAACCAGCATAAAAAGTTCCATTAATAACAAAAAAATTCTGCGAGTATATATGATGTAGTAAAATACTGGTGCAGTGAATTCAAGCGTGGAAGAACCTCATGTGAAAACTTAGGGCGTATCAGATAAATTGTTGAGGGACATTGGCTTATTATAGTTCCCAAAAATGAAGAACATTAGCATGAAAAAAAATTTTCACAGTTAAAATTCCATAGGACATGTTTTTGTTTTTAAAAGTATCACAGTTCCAATCTTATTATACCCACATCTTCACATAAGTACTATCAAAATGTTAAAGGAACAACATACAAGATTCTTAAGAATAAAAGCAGTAATAAAAAAAAGACGGTGTCTGAGAGACCAGGAAGAGATCGGAACTAAACCATTGAATATAAGTGACAAAAGCAGGAATTATATGTCAAACTAGAGCAGAGGCAGACCTATAATAACATGATTTTAATGCTTAAACAGTAGGGTACTTACTGATCGAACTTCTGGTACTTTGTTCGGTGCGGTACAGCCTACATCGGATGGATTAACGACTAAAAATAAAAATATCACAAAGCCCGCCACACCCATATAAAGTCCGGGCATTATAAACGAGTATGCCCATTCGGTTTCTACATATTGGGCGGCGATTAAAGATCCTGAAAATAAAATATGAAAAACTTAGAATCAACAAAGTTGAAAGATTTCCACATAAGTGCATAATATGTATTTTAATCTTCCTAAGTAAACTTATTGTTTTATCAAATCAAGAATGCCTAACACAAACTATTTCAAATCATAAACGGAAATCACTGTCAAAGAACAAATATAATTGATAAAGTCAAATCTATTATTATAATAATATTCATTTAGGACAACGACTTACCTAAAATATTTCCTATACTAGTATGAGAATTCCACAGACCAAATATTAAGCCTCTTTTGCTCTTTCCAAACCAATTACTCATAATTGTTACTACACCCGGCCAACCTGTGGTCTGGAATATACCTGCTAGTGCCTAAAATAAAAAAATATATGTTGGTAAAATAGGTGTTATTTTTAAATGCCGCTAGACATTCATTCACACAGAGAAAAAAACTGATAGTCTACTTTTGTTACTACCTGCTTTAAACGCTCAAATAAGTTTGGAAAATATTTTCCCTTGGCATAAACCACTACATTTGGATCAGTTGAAATGAAAGTCCGACTTGTGCAATCACCCGATTTTAATCCCATCGATTTCTTCTTTTTCGCGAATAAACGGTTGTATTTAGATAGGAACATATTCGGGAAATAAATAATTTGACTTACCTGGACGGCCACATAGTAACCGATATTGTGGATATCGTATGTTTTGGCGATGCCAAATAAGTAGCTGAAAATGCCGGACATTAACATTCCTATGCTGAGAAAATATCTCAGGTTTACTCTTTCCGCTATGAAACCAGAAAAGAACATAGCGATTGCGTAACAAAAAAGAAATGCGCTATCCAATTCACCGAGCATTTGAGAGGCACTTGCGTCCGAGCCACCTGAAAAAAAAGTTTACATTTTGACAGTTGTTCGTTTAATATTTATATACAGAGTGACAATTGAAGCCCTCGGTGTAAAAACTTGTCGTGAAGTTACTGTTTTAGCTCAAAACATCTTTTAACAAGGATACCAGACATACCAATTTTTTTTTTAATGTCTAATCCAAAAGATAACGCTATTTTTCGTAATATTTATATTTAAATAATTTTTTTATTTATATTTGACAGATTTATTTATTTAAAGTAAATAGGACTCCTTACGGGACACTGTGGCCTTAGAAGACACCTAAATCTCTTAGGGATATCTGATGACTCCCTATGCAGAATATGTGAAGAGGAGGACGAAACTCCTATTCACATACTATGCCACTGCCGGAACCTTAAATGGGAACGGGAATGGTACTTCGGGGTACAATATACGGAACCTGAAGAAATCGCGAAAGCGCCCATCACACATATTCTTGAATTCATCAAGAAAATCAATCTGATGGGATACTGTGAGGGTACAATAAGCCTACAGCTTCAGTACAAGTGGGCTTTGACCACGCCCTAATTCAATAGATAGATAGATAGAAATAACCTGGCAAATTGTTTTATTAATTCTTATTAATTAATTTTTTTTTAATTTTTATTAATTTTTATTATATTTTATTAATTTTTTTTAATTTTTATTAATTTTTATTAATTTTTATTAATTTTTATTAATTTTTATTAATTTTTATTAATTTTTATTAATTTTTATTAATTTTTATTAATTTTTATTAATTTTTATTAATTTTTATTAATTTTTATTAATTTTTATTAATTTTTATTAATTTTTATTAATTTTTATTAAATTTATATTAATTTTTATTAATTTTTATTAATTTTTATTAATTTTTATTAATCTTTATTAATTTTTATTAATTTTTATTAATTTTTATTAATTTTTATTAATTTTTATTAATTTTTATTAATTTTTATTAATTTTTATTAATTTTTATTAATTTTTATTAATTTTTATTAATTTTTATTAATTTTTATTAATGTTTATTAATTTTTATTCATTTTCATTCATTTCTTATTAATTTTTACTATTTTTTGTTAATTTTTATTAATATTTAATAATTTTTAATAATTTTTATTCATTTTCATTCATTTCTTATTAATTTTTATTCATTTTTATAATTTTTAATAATTTTAAATAATTTTTAATAATTTTTAATAATTTTTAATAATTTTTAATAATTTTTAATAATTTTTATTAATTTTTATTAATTTTTATTAATTTTTATTATTTTTTATTATTTTTTATTAATTTTTATTAATTTTTATTAATTTTTATTAATATTTATGAATTTTTATTAATTTTTATTAATTTTTAAAAAATATTTTTAATATTTTTTAATTTTGTAGTATTTTTTATCAATTTTTTATTATTTATTTTTTATACCTATTTTATTTTTATAACTATTTATTTTTATAACTATTTATTTTTAATTATTTTTGTTCATTTTTTATTAATTTTTATTCATTACATTTTTATTCATTTTTCTTCATTTTTATTCCTTTTTATTAATTTTTATTCACTTTTATTTATTATTTAGTTTTACGATAATCCCCATTTCCCCCCTCCTTAAAATGTAAAAAAATCCAAAAACCTTGAAATACTTCATTATTTACTAATAATGAGTAGCTCAATTCCAATTTTCAAGTTTCTACCTTTAAAAATCGATATTTACATACAAACTTTTAACCCCCGTTTCCCCCCCTTAAAATGTGAAAATCCAAAAACCTTGAAACACGTTATTTATTTATTTATGCTCAGGTAGCTTTATTACAAATTTTTATGTTTCACTATCACTATGTAAAAAATCATGTCTGTGAAAAACCAAAACAAATTTATCCCACGGGAACTATATATTTTTTCGGGATAAAAAGTAGCATATGTGCTATTCCAGACTATAATCTATCTTTGTGCCAAATTTCATCCAGATCCGTTCAGCCGTTCTTGCGTGATCGAGCAACAAACATCGATCGATCCATCCATCCATCCATCCATCCAAACTTTCACATTTATATATTAGTAGGAAGTAGGATTTACCGAAATTTGAACATTCAATTTCATGTAAATTATCTAGGTATATTCGGCAAGTGGCAAAAGGCCATTTTTTATTTTCTCCCCAAGTGTCAACATTAAAACTAGAGATGGTATCCCCAAAACGAAACTCAAGGTAGGAACCATTTACTACAATCATCTTGTCGGTTAGTTTGGGCATCCGATAAACGCGCTATTAAATAGTTGGAGAACGTTAGTTCATTATTTATTTATTTTTTTTTAACCGCTGGTAATTTTTTTCGGAGATTTGGTTAACAGCTGACACAAGTGTTTCGCAGTTTTCCCTGTTCTATCCAATTTTCTTAAAAACAGAGTCATTTTCAAGTCAGAGCGACCCTAACGTCAAGCTGTTTATTTTTTTTTTTTTTCGGAACTTTTTTTGTTTCGACGCTCAAACCGGACTATGTGAACTGCCCGTGTATCTACAGAGTTTAGTGTTTTAGAGGTTGGGAATAATTTAAGAATCTCTTCAAAAGTCTCGCATTTCGTATCACCTCATCGGCACTATCATATGAAGGCCGCCAATCAGCTGTGCATATTCCTTTTTCGTTTTTTTTCGCCTCTGGATCGTGCCGAAGTAGATGAATGATTCATATTTTTTATTATGCAGGGCGTGCTGTAATAACTGTTTGATTTATTTCTTGTGATTTAATAAAACAATTCTTAATTAAAAATTTATTTTTTATTAGACAGGGAGCACTGTATCATCGTTTGATTTAATAAAATAATTCTTAAGGAAAAATTTATTTTCTCTTATACATGGAGTACTGTAATTACCGTTTGATTTTAAAATTATTATTGATCGACCGTTGCGTTTAAACCATTAATTAATTGTGAATTAATTTTGTATCATACAGGGACCGTTTTCTTTTGGTTTAATAATTATTGTTTAACTTTTGTGCTTAAACAATTCATTTAATTGAAAATTTATTTTCTATTATATAGGGAGTACTGTATTACCGTTTTAATTATTTCTTAAACATTAATTTCTTTTTTATTGTCTAACTTTTGTATTTGAATGATTTATTTAATAGGAAGGCCTTTTATATTATACAGGGAGTGCCGTTATTGCCGCTTTAAATATTTGTTACACATTCTTTTTTTTTTTGTTTAACTTTTGTATAGGAACAATTTATTTGATATGAAAGTTATTTTCTATTATACAGGGAGTGCTGTTATTACCGTTTTAATTATTTCTTACACATTATTTTCTTTTTATTGTTAACCTTTTGTGTTTAAACAACTTAGTTGCAGAGAAAGTTATTTTCCATTATACAGGGAGTGCTGTTATTATCGTTTTAATTCCTTCTTATACATTATTTTCTTTTTATTCTGTAACAATTGTATTTAAACAATTTATTTGATTTAATAAAATAATTCTTAATTGGAAATTCATTTTCTATTATACCAGGAGTGCCGGTGGTACCGAATATTGTATCCCGAGTTTTTTTAGTGTTTTTATTTTAAAATATATTTCGTTAATAATTCCTGTTTCTTTTCTTTTATTACCGGCTCTCAACCGTTTTATTGCAGGGTAACGTAGGGTACAATGTGTGAGGTAGTCTAGTTTCATTTATTATATTTTAGTGGCTACTCCATTAGCGGTGACCGCCTGGAGGTATTTTTAACTCCAATGAGTCTATTTTGGGTACATTCTGGCGTACTACAGGGTCGCAGAGCAAACTGCGTTAGCAAAACTGACGCCTGAGCAACCCTTGTTCTGATTTCACCACCTTAGTGCCAAACACGACTTCCTACTTCCAAGCAAGTGAAGCCAAAATCCTGTCATAAGGTGACGCATAGGGGTTAGTTATATAAATCCTATAGGGTTTTTAAATTGAAGGTTTTTTCTACTCGTCGGATGAATTTATAAATTATTTTTAAATTGTTAATGTATTTTATTTATCTATATATTTATTGTAAAAATCACATTTGCAACGTGGCCTGTCTCATGTTATCGTACGATGATCTAAGAGATTAATAAAAAATCTATGTATTTTGTTATATAAGTTCCTCCTTCGTATCCTAGAACTATGGAGCCTAATATGTAGATTCAAAACGATATATTTCCAATTCAAAAGTTTCCTGATCATTCCAAACAAATAAAACACCCTATGCAATAGAATTATGGATTATAGAGGGTGTCTCAAAAAGACAAAAGGATTATTCTCCGAAGCTTCAAAGATCTCACAAATATTCAATTTTATTAGAAATGGGTTACCTTCTTTCGTTATAATATTTATTTGACATAAACCTACTCTACGAAGAGAAACATTTTTTAGTACTTATATGTCGGTAATTATTTATGACAATCATTTAAATATTTACGGAAAATACTGTTGGATGATTTAAAATATTAGAAAGCCAACGAAAGCCTACTTTGGAGAGTGATCGTAGAAAAAAATATTTTTTTTTAGTTAACAAAGTTACAAATGAAAGGAAAGTACAAAATTACACAAAACCCCAATGTTGGAGACAAGGTAAGTGTTAAAAAAACTTAAAAACTACCACTGTCAGGCACCAAACAGCAAAAAGTTGGGTTATTCCTCTATAAAATTATGCGGTACGCATACAGATCTATTAATCAACTCGCAGAGAGGATTACAAAATAATGATCTCGATCACAAAACTGATCAGTTATAGTTTCCGAAAACGGATACTAACCTTATAGGATAGTAAAGGATAGTAACCTAAGGTAAATGACCAATAGGATTTATAATCTTTACGAAAATTCCTATAGTATAACATACTTACCACTTTTGGAAACATTAAAGTCATCTACTAGCTAAACAAGTCACAGCAGAAATGTTAACATTATAATTTTTCTTGTGATAATAATTCATGCAACATAATATGAAATTCCATAAGTGATAACATCCCCGATGTGTAATGTTTCTCAAAT